AGGAAGTGCCCTGGAGGAAGTCCTATCAGGTCTGGCTGAGGGTGCAGGATGGGGAATCAGGATGACACCACCAGGCTGGTGGCCCCAGCTCCTGGGAGGGTATGGGCCACAGGCCAGGGAGCAAAGGAGTAGGGTGTGATGGGTACCTGGGGAGGAAAGGTAGGAGAACAAGATGCAGTGGAGGGAGAGGAGGGCTCGGCCACCCCCAATGCTGCCCCACCCCCCATGCCACCCCATCCCCAATGCCACCCCATCCCCAGGCCAGGGAGGTCCCAGGCGTGAAGGTCTTCCGCTCCTCAGCCACCGTGTACTTTGCCAATGCTGAGCTCTACAGCGACGCACTGAAGCAGAGGGTGAGGTACCGGGTCCTAGGGTGGGAGTCAGAGGGCCCCTCACCTTCCCGGAGTGCCCACGTCCCTTCTCTGACATCTGCCTCTAGTGCGGTGTGGATGTCGACCGCCTCATCTCCCAGAAGAAGAAGCTGCTCAAGAAGCAGCAGCTAAAGCTGAAGCGCCTGGGGAAAGAGAAGCAGCTCCAGGAACAGGCAGGCCCTTAGCTGGTGACTCCTGGTCTCTGCCCGCCGCCCTCCTCCCCACCCTGCCTGTCTCCCAGACTCCCAACTTCTTGTCCTCACTCTTCATCCCTCCCCTTTCTCCCTCATGCCCCCTGGGACCCCACTTGACTCCCCCAGCAGGGCAGGGCTTTTCTCCCATCTCCTGAACCAGTGACAGTGTAAACCATCACAGTCCTCTTCCATTTTATGGCTTTCCTAGAACCCTGCAGCCTTCAGCCTGGCCACCCCGGGTTCCACAGCTTCGGGTCCTGGCCTGCCTTCCTGCCCAAAGCCAGAGGTGACACCAGACCTGTCGGGCACGGCTGTTATATAGCAGCTGAGATAGCTCTTTTCTTTCCCCCCTCCTCCCTGGCCTAGGCTGCTTCCTCCAAGCGCACCTCGGTTTCCATCAGTGTCAACACCAGCCAGGGAGACATCAAGAGCAACAACGTGGAGGAACCCAAGGCCAAGGTGAGGCTGGAGGTGGGGGAGGAGGGCCAGCCATGAGCTGCAAAGACATTGGCATGCACATGTGTTCTGTGAGGAAAGCCACAGGCCTACCAGCTATGGGTTTGAAGGTGCTGTGCTGATGGCAGGAGGCTTGGGGTGATGGAACAGATACTCTGTGGGGAAATCTCTAGTGATATGCCATAAAATTCTGCTTGTGGCCCTCTCTTTTATAATCTCAGGCCTAGAAGACAACCTTGAAGTTATAGATGCCATAAGAACCCACAGTCTGTGCTCATGGGTAGAGGGAAGGGATTGGGTGTATGGGAAAAAACCTAGAGGTCAAAGGGGGTGCCAGGTTTAATTAGAGACTCAGACAGGGCAGGGTGCTGAGGTGTCTGTGTGTGAGCGTGCATGTGAATGCATGTGTCTATTCCTTTCCCTGGTCCCCCTATCCACTCCACCCTGGCTGACTGAGGATGGGACATGGTCTCCCAGCTCCCTCCCTTTTTGTGTTCCTATTAAGCCAGGGCCCAGGAGGTAACAGAGCAGTATGTACATGTCTGTGTGTGCTCCAAGTCTGGGTGTGTTCTCCTGCACGTCCCCATGTGCCTGTGCCTCCTGTCTTTGCATATTTATGTCGCTCCCCCATGTCTGTGTCCTCATGTGTCTCCTGCATGTCCCCACATGTGTGGATGTTTACATGCATGCTTCTATGTCTGACCCTGTGTGTCCCTGCATGTCCATGTGTGTTCCCTGCCTTCATCTCCTCATGGGCAACCCTTGCAGTATATTTGGTTCTCCAGCAGGTGAACACAGAGGATGGGCTGAAGGACACAGTGGTTAGTGATCAGGAAGATGCCAAGGCCCCAGATGTGTTCACACTGAAGGCCCTGGGTCTGCCCCAACCAGATTTCCACAGCCTCATCTTGGACCTGAGCGCCCTTTCTTTCGTGGACACTGTGTGCCTCAAGAGCCTGAAGAATGTAAGGGGCAGGGGCAGGCCAAGGCCACTCAGCCTTCACACTGCCTCCATAACTTGCTCTGAGAGCCCTCTGTGCCTTCGGACTCCCCAAACCCTCCAAGCTTGCCCTGTCAACTCCCTCCCCAAGCCTGCCCCAGTAGTCCCTGAGCCTCCCTGAGTCTAGCCCCCTTTTCTGCTGCAGATTTTCCATGACTTCCGGGAGATCGAGGTGGAGGTGTACATGGCGGCCTGCCACAGTGCGTGCAGCAGGGACAGTAGGAAGAATTGGGAAAAGGGTGGGATCCTTTTGGCCAAGAGTTTTGCCAGGCAGCAGAAGGAAAAAGTCTTTCTCAGAACCTGAAGGTCAGAGGTGTCCTGGGAGGCAGGAGTCAAGGATCAGGAGTGATTGGGGGTTTAGCTGTAGCCTCAGGGGTGGAGGTCAGGGGTGACAAGTCAGCGCATTCTGCTGGTGCTTGGGGTTCTGGTGGTTCTGAGAGTCAGAGGAGGCTTACTCCTTGCCTATAGGCCCTGTGGTCACCCAGCTGGAGGCTGGGCACTTCTTTGATGCATCCATCACTAGGCAGCATCTCTTTGCCTCTGTCCATGATGCTGTCACCTTCGCTGTCCAGCATCCGAGGTCTAGCCCCATCAACCCTGTTTTGGTGAGTTGATCCCTGGCCCACTGAGCTCTTTTTTGTTAATCTATTGCTTGTCTCCACCCTGGTCTCAACTTCAGGAAGTCCATCCTGGTGACTACGGTTCTGCCCCCAGGGGACCCACTACCTTCCCTTCTTGCCTTTGGATAAAGCTGCTTCTAGGGATAGGGGTTGGTGTCCTGAGGAAGGGAAGTTGGTATGTGTCCTTTGGAAACTGACTTGAGCCTCCCCTCTTCTGCCTGCTCAGGTCACCAAACTCTGACTGTGCTGACACCCTGCCTGAGACCTCTCACCTCTGGAGGTTGTGATGGGGCACCCTTGAGAAGCCTCCCACCACTGGGCCCCCTCCAGGTGCCACCCAGGAGTCCCCTCCGTGTACACACACACACACACACACACACACACACACACACAACTCAGGGATGGAGGTCCTGGGACTCCAAGTTCAGAGCTGCAGGCCTGGTTCGAGTACTGCAGTCAGGCTGGCACTGGCGGGTGTTGAGAGGGAACCAAGGTGTATTTTCAGCCTCAGGAATAAAGATTTGTCTGCCCAACTCCAGGCTCTGATGTGGCTTGGTGGGGGTGGTGGGTGCCCCACAGTTCTGGTTCCTGACCCTTCTTATACCCCAAAGTAGAGACCGGGTCAGAAGTTGGGTGGAAGATTCAGGGACGGCAGGCTCAGGCAGGGAGGGTACAGAGCAGGAGAGTTGTAGGGGTGTCCCAAGTTCAAGTCTCTCCCCAGCCATGCACAGCCCTCCACCCATGTCCTCACCTGTAAAATTGTTGGCATCAGAGCTGCTGCTTAGGAATAATCTGTTCTCAGGGATACCCGATAAGATGCAGGGTGGGGCAGGTGCCACCATGCAGTCCTTGGAGGGTGCAGAGTCCACACCTGAACAACCAGCTGGGGAAAAGCAGTTTTTCACCAGTGCTGGTGGTCTGTATTTAAAAATAAGAATAAGCATGACCAATTTATGGGGGAAGAATGCCTATTCATATAATCAGATCACCTGGGCTTGGCAGAGCACCATCAGCCAAGAAGCATGTGCTTATTTCTGCCGTAAAACACCAGCACAGGGCATGTGGTGGCGGGCGGTGGGGCCTCAACTGACACGCTGAGAGATGGGGTGGGGGAGCTAGAATCTTTCTGGGCCTCAGTGTGCTCCTCACCAGCAGGGCAGGAATGGGAACAGCACTCGCCTCGTGAGTTGCTCAATGCATGTTAAATGAGTAAACACCAGAAAATGCTGGCAACAGTGCTGGGCTCTGATCACCTTCTCAAACACGTGAGCTTTGCTGTTCATTGGGTGCTGACTGGGTGGCAATCTCCGTGCACAGTCCTGCTCGTGGACAGAGGTGGCCCTGTGCTCCACATCCTTGAGGCGCCTTGCCCAGGTCTCATGATAGTGGCCTGTGTCAGTGCCTGGCACTGTATTTACGAATCATCTGTCCTTCCCCCAGCCCCCAGAACCTCAGCCTGGGAGGTCAGAGCTTTTTGTCTGTCACGTCGTGTGCTGGCACCAGGATCAGTGCCTGGCAGCTACTCGGTAAATATTGGTTGAATGCAGTTGGCTAGAGCGTGGTGTTCATAACACCAAGGTCCGGGGTTAGATCCCTGTACTGGCCAGCCACCAAAACAGTCGAAATATTGGTTGAATGAAGCTTATATGCTAAAGTGGGAGACAGACCTCAAACAAGAGATTGCAAGTAGTTAGAAATGCTGTGAAGAAAATAAAGCAGGGTCACACGACAGAGAAGGAACTGTGTCACCCAAGGTGGCCATGGAGGGAGGCTAAGGGAGCATGTGACACTTAACTGAAACTCCAGCCGTGAGAAGGTGACTTTCTAGGCACTGGAAGCAGTGCTGTGGTGTAGGGAACAGCAGGTGTGTCCAAGGAGGCCCTCGCGAGTCAGGCTTGGCTCTGACAGCCAGGGCATTTTGAGCACTTGCTCTGATGCAATGCGGTCGGCGGGGTAGAGGCTGGGTGTGGGGGCCAGTGCGTAGCTCCTTGCCCTCTGCTTGATTGGTCTGGGCTAGTGCTACCCTTGGTGGAGGGCAGTGGACTTTAGGGGCCATCGAGCATTTGGATTTTGGGTTTGGATGGTCGGTGAGGGCAATATGGGGGGAAAAGGAGGCACCCCTTCAATTCTGAGCTGGCCAGACCAGCTGGAGAATGGTGCGCAGGCCCCGGCCAGCCATTCTTTCCCCACTCTGGAGCCCAGCCCCCACCCCACCCCACTCATTTTCTGGCCAGCCTGCCTTGTGAAAGGCCGTGGGCCCAGGTGGAACCTGCTGCCTCAGAGCTGGTCCTGCTCTAGGGGGAGGGGCTTGTGCCGGTTGCCAGGCACCCGGGTTCCGGCCCCTGGCACTTGTGCAGCCATGCTGCACACACTGTCCTTCCTGTCGCCACTGCTCTTGTTGACAATGCCTACCCCTGCCCATGCCTGGTCACGGCCCCTCTGGTACCAGGTGGGGCTAGACTTGCAGCCCTGGGGGTGCCAGCCAAATGGCCTGGAGGGTTGTGGAGGTGGCCTGAGTTGTGTTGGCCATTGGATGGGCCTGGGAACGAACCACATCTACCCCGTGGCAGGGGTCACGATCACCACCACCATGATGCTGATGATCAGCCATGCAGTGCTGCAGCGGTGGCGTTCACAGGCCACCAAGGGTGAGGTGAGCACAGCACTCCTCTGTCCCCACAGCTCCTGCCTCTACTGATATCCTATGTGCCCATGTCCTCCACCCCCCCCTCCCCCACCGGCCCACCGGCCCACCTTGTGGCCCTGTGGGCCTCCCCCACACCCGCTCACACCCCATTGTCCCTGCATCTGTTTACACATCTCCATGGAACCCATGTCTACAAACCATCAGTCCCTGACCATTCCCCATGGCCAGTCCCTACCCCCATGTGTCTCCCTTACTACTACTATTCCTCATCCAGCTCCCATGGGCCCCTTGACTACCTTGGCTCACAACAGACCCTCAGCAGCTCTCCATCACCCTAAGTCTCTCTTCCCATCTGCACTGGGCACTGCCCCACACCCCCCATCCTTCTCCCCTTGCCACACCTCCATCCTGTCCCTCTACTCTCACTCCTGCCTCTTGGTCCTATTCGCAGCATCTGAAGGTGACCACTGACCCCTGTGGACCCTGGAAACAGCGGGCCCCAATCTCAGACCGCACCCTGCTCCTTGGGGTCCTGCACATGCTGGATGCCCTCCTGGCCCATATCGAGAGCCACCTGCAGCGTCTAGCCGCCCAGCATCAGATTCAAATAAAGGAGACCTATGCCCAGAGTGGGTGACTCAACAAGTGCCTCTATTTGTCTGATGGCCAGCTGGGCTGGGGACGGCCTGAGGCCCCAGGCCAGGGCTTGAGCTTGTGTGTCTATTCTCTCCAGGCCTGTTTGGACCCTGTGTCCCCTTTCCATTCTTAGATCCAGCAGACTTGTTGAGGCCTCAGTGCCCAGGATGGATGGGCAGGTGGGGCCCAGGCGGGCTTACGCTGCTCCATCACCCCCACCCACTGACTCCTCTTCCCTAAGTATTCCACCCATAAGTACAGCTGCTCCTCTGGCCTGACCAGTACCTGGGGCCACCTGGCGTGGTAAGAGAAGACTTGGTTATTGGGGCCGACTTGGGTGGTCCAGGGAGGGCTGCTCAGAGGAGGTGACAACCTGGCCGAGTCCTGAGGAGGAATGAGGTGTGGGGAGGGGTACTCTCGGTAGAGGCCTCAGTCTGAGCAAAGGCTCTGTGCTGTGTTTGATACTCCACGCACGTTGGTGTGGTGGACAGTGCCTGGTCATGAAGGCCTTAAGTGCCAAGTGAGAGTCAGGGGCTTTTCCAGTGCACAGGGGGAGTGGGGGAGGGGCCTGATCAGCTGAGAAGAATGGGGGGACTGGAAATAGACCTCCAGCATCTCTGATGGGGGCTGAGAGCCCTGGCCCTTGTGACTGTGGGGTCACACCCACTTCTCTGCTTCCACACCCTCGTCACCACCTCAGGGAAATCGATAGGGGAGCTGTCTTCATGACTTCAATCCTGCCACTAAAAAGCAACTGGCCCTGGTTTCCTTCTTCCCTGACCTTGCAAGGCCCTCCCTCGGGAGTCACTGCTCTGAGTCTCTAATAGCAGCCACTCCCCAGGACCTTGGCTCCTGCCCAGTCCCCCCACCTCTACCTCCACCCCACCCCCACTCCAGCCCAGGCCAACCAGCCCCAACATGGAGCCAGGTAGGCAGCTCTAGCTGCCCTTGTTTTTGTGGCAGCCTCAAACATGCTCTGATGCCTGAGTGGCCTGGCTTCAAGGCCCCTGGAAGAGGAGTGAGGGCCAAACCTCCCCAAGAGGCCCTCAGCCGCTTCTTCCCGCTCTTCTACCGTAGGTGATCCAGGTTGAATTGGACCTGAGACATTTATTTTTAGGGTTCCTGTTTTAGAAAAATACATTATGAATTCAAAAATAGAAACAAGTAAATTAAAATAATGAGAGATAAAATTAAGAATTTTTCAACATATGTCAATGTTGAACCCCCAAAATACATATAATCAATTATGATTCGATTAAAAAAAGTAGGGGCTGGTCTGTGGCTCACTTGGGAGAGCGTGGTGCTGACAACACCAAGTCAAGGGTTAAGATCCCCTTACCGGTCATCTTTAAAAAAAAAAAAAAGTAAAAATAAATAAGTAAATAAAAAGGATGTGTGAAAATTTGGAAAAGAAAAAAAAATTTTTTTTTGTCCTTTTTGAGACCAGCCGCACCACGCTCAGCCAGTGAGCACACCGGCCATCCCTATATAGGATCCAAACCTGCGGCGGGAGCGCTCTCCCGAGTGCACCAGGGGCTCAGCCCAAAAAAGAAAAAAAATTTAAGTTGACAAATATTACAATACTAAATCCAGAAAAATAGAATAATTGTGGTGACTTCCTGACATATTTCCATAATAGATTTTCCCTTACATTTTCTGGCTTCATACTCTGATGCCCTTTACATAGGACAAAAATTTTGTAATCTTGGGGTGAAATATTTTCCATACAGAGAATAGAAGGATAATACAATTTTCTAACCTGGTTGACTGGGATTTATGTTTTAACTATTGATAGTTTAGAAAAGTTATTTTACTTCCTAACCTGTATATGGTGTCATATACACGTTGGGAAACTGTCATTAGCTTTCTTTCACATAGAAGCTGTAAGATTTGGAAGAATTTTCCACAGAAGAGCTTCTGGCTCCACACATTTAAACCTTGTTTTCTCTCCACATCTCACAATTTTTCCCAGCACTGGGCTCTGGGGGGCAGTTCTTAATGCAATAGGACTTCGCTCTTTGGTCCTGACCAGAAGCTCTGACCTGTAGGAGATTCCTAGAGGTTACATTCTTAGCTTATTGTTCTTGTCCTGAACAATAAGGTCACCAAACACAGGAGTGGAACAAATCACATAAACAGGGCCCTCTAAACCCAGACCAAGTGTGTCCCTGTGGTAGGCTCGTACATGCACTGCCCAGGTTCCCCTTCAGGGAAGGCCAGCTTCTGGGAAGGTGGCCGCAGACACAGGTCTGCCTCTGCTGTACAGCACCCTCTTACAGGTAGTTTTCTCCTCTTCCCAACCCTTTTCTCCCTCCCTCAGGTACTAATCTCAAGAGACCCTCTGGTAAATATTTTGCACCGTGATCTCCCTCTTAGAATCAGCTTCCCTCTTGGAACCTAGCCCAGGACAGTCCCCAAACCACCTTCCCCTCGGCTGGACCCCCAAAATGCCACAGCCTCTTTGTTGTCCCCCCAAATGAGGGGAAGAGGGCTGGAGGGGAGTCTGAGTAGAAAACGGCAAAGGTCCTAAGTGAATGTGATTAAACTATCTTAATTTTTAAAAATTTCCAAAAACACTTGCACCAGCGGACACACTACTGGGGCCTGTCTCAAGGTGTGAAAATGAAGAACATTGAAGGTTGAGCTTCATCGGCCTTTTGTTAGGTCTACCTCTCCTCACTGCAAAATTTAATGAGCACCTACTGTCAGCTGACCCTACTGTGATGTGAGTATACACCAGCGTACAGAACAGACCTGGCTCCTCCCTTGCCTACTCACAGATGGAAGTGGTGGTGATGGAACAGGCTCAAAAAGGCAATTACTCTGCAGAGAGGTATGCTGGCTGGTTGGGGTGGTGCCGAGGTAGGCCGACTGCTGACACGTGAAGGGTGAGTGGTGTGTCACAGACCTTGACCTGTTCCAGAAGCTATAATGTGTTCAGGATTTCAAGGAAAGAAGGTGTTCTGGAGAGTAGGAGGGAGTGGGCCAGGAAGGGACAAGAATTGGTGGCTCCTAGGGAGGATGTCATAGACAGAATAATAGCCCCTCAACGATGTCCATGCCTTAATCCCTAGAACCTGTGAATATGTTACAGTACATGGCAAAAGGAATTTTGAAGATAAAGTTAGGGAGAAGGACCTTAAAATGGGGAGATTATTATGTATTGTTTGGGGGGCCCAATGGAATCACACGAGCTCTTAAAAAGCAAAGAGGAAGGCAGAAGAGTTGGCTAGAGAGATGCAAAGTGTGAGAGGTACTTGATCCTTCACTGCTTTTTTTTTTTTTTTTCAACACATGGAGCACAGTTTCACTGCTGGTTTTGAAGATGGTGGAAAGAATTTTCCAAGGATCCAAGGAATTCAGGGAACAACCTTCAGGTGGCAGCCAGCAAGGAAACAGGAACCTCAGTTCTGCAACCACTAGGAACTGAATTTTACCAACAAACTGAATGGGTAAGTATACTAATTCTACCCTAGAACCTCTGGAAAGCAATGCAGCCCTGCTATGTCTTTATTTTAGTGCAGTGAAACCCATGTTGGACTTCTGGCATACAGGAGGATACTTCAAAAAACTCATAGAAAAATTTGCATTATCTTTTAATTCTATTTTTCCATGAGCTTTTAGAAGTACCCTCATAGAACTGTGAGATAATAAATTTGTGTTATTCTAGGTCACTAAGTTTGTGGTAATTTGTTATGGCCTGTCTAGAAACTAGACAGAAACTGGCAGAAACTAGAAGAATGTTGAGGAGAATAATAGGAAAAGACAAGATTGCATCCAACCAACTGTTAACAGAAACCTGAACTTTAAGGATTTTGCTAGTGAGGGCTCAGAAGGAAATGAAAAACATGCTTATTGGGAACTGGAGGAAAAGGAATCCTTGTTACATAGTTGCAGAAAGCTTAGTGGAATTGTATCCTGTAGCAGGTTGGAAAACAGAACTTGTAAGTGATAAACTTGGATATAAAGCAGAAGAGATTTCCCAGAAAAATGCTGAAGGTACAGCCTGGTTTCTTCTTGTTGCTTGTAGTAAAATGTAAGAGGAGAAAGAACAATTGAGAGAAAAACTGTTAAGCAAAATGAAACCAGGACTTGATGTTGGAAATTCTTGGCACTTTCCCCTAAATAGTCAGCTAGTCAAGGTTTATGTAGTTCTGTCAAAAGCCCCCCTGCCCCCATTGTCAGGGTTGATACAATTCTAATGAAATCAGGTTTTTCTTTTAGATTGACAAAATATTTATAAAAATAATATAGAAGAGGAGTATGATATCACAGAAGACGGTGGGGTAGAAAGATCCAGAAATTCATCCCTCCACCAAACCAAGTATTAAGTTTGCAGAAACTGCCTGAAGCAACTTTTTGGATCTCTGAAGTCTAGATGAACACTTGCAGCATCCAGTTTCCAATAATATGTTTCTCATTTCCTTCTGAGCCTTCACTGGCAGCATCCTTAAGTCCAGGTTTCTGTTAACAATTGGTTGAAAGCAATCTTTTGTGTGTGTGTGTGTGTGTGTGTGTGTGTGTGTGTGACCAGTAAGGGGATTGCAACCCTTGGCTTGGTGTCGCCCGCACTGCGCTCAGCCAGTGAGCACACTGGCCATCCCTATATAGGATCCAAACCCGCGGAGGGAGCACCGCTTAGCTCCCAGCGCCACACTCTCCTGAGTGAGCCACGGGCCGACCCCGAAAGCAATCTTATCTTTTCCTATTATTCTCCATTCTTCTAGTTTCTGCCCACTGCCCAATTCCAAAGCCACTTTTATATTTTTAGGATTTGTTATAGCATTATCTCATTCTTGGTACTAAAAGCAGCTGGTAAATTTCAGTTAGTTTTTGCTGTTTCAACTCCACAGGCTGAAGTGGCTTCCTAGCACCAGGAGACTTAAAAAATATTCTCTAGGATAGAACACATATTAGGTCATAAATCAAGTGTCAACACATTTTTATTTTTTTTTAAAGATAATTTATTATACATACATGTCAGGCACAACATTGATTTTC